GGGGGACTGCGGACGTTTTACCCGCAGCCTCAGCACTCCTCTGCTGTGAGGGTTGTGACTGTGAGAATGACTGAAAACATAGGGTATCGACTATGTTGAATCTCGTGGCAATGTTAATTTTTAGAGCAAAATGCAATAATCGAGTGAAAACCTTCAGAATATCAGAAAATATTCTATTTTATCCACTCATTCCGGTTCTGTGCGTAAAATCATTTTGTTTTGGAAACTAACATTGCTACGAGATTCAGCATAGTCGGTAACCTATGTTTTAGTCATTTCTCACAGTCACAAATCTAACAGCAGTGTAGTGGTGTGGCTTGGGATAAAACGTCCACAGTCCCCGAATCATGGATTTCTACGATGTTGGTTAGATGCAGTTTTGTAGAGGACACTTCGAACTATATACCTATCAAAAGATTGACCTATTTCTATGTCAGTTTTCAGAGATCTAAACTGAATTTCCAAAGCTTCTTTGAGAAACCGGCTTGGGAAAACTTTTCAAATATCGATGTTTTGCTTATGGAAATGTAGCGTCAAGTGTCTAGTTTCCCAAACGGAAAACCGTAGATTTCTATCAAAAGTTATTTAAAAAACAACCGAGGCAACTGTTTATTTGGCGGCTTGTCCAACTAACGGTCCTTTTTTCGCTCATTTTCAAAAATTGTTGATTAAAGCTACAAACTAATCTATCGTTACGGTTTTTCTGATTTTTCTTTGATTAATGCAGATTAATTAGAATAGTTTCGAATTTAAGAATCCATCACATCTTGTAGAGGAAACAGTTTTCTACAAAGTGGAATACTTGTTCAATTTTCACCTGCTCGTGTTAACTCTTTTAGACATGTCTTTCAGATAGTCCCAAAATTGATTTTGGGGGCTGTTTGTACAACAGTTGTATTTTCATAACGGATCAACATTCAGAGCCGAGACACTTTTCATTTTTCATAGAAATATTTATTATTACTTAATTATCTAGTTGCCATTTTCGATTAGTTTGTAGTTTTATTACAATAATTTTTAGAAAATGAGCGAAAAAAAAAGACCATTCGCTGGACGAGCCGAGCCGTTGAATAGACAATAGCATAGCGTTTTTGGTTGGAAAGAAAAAAATATCCATTATTTTAAGGTTTTTAGTTGATACATTTCATTCAAAGAAATCTTTATCATACTAACACCCACATATAAGCTTAACGAGGTATAATGATATTACGAAAAGAGTTACACAGTTTTACTGTCGACATTTGTTTGATTAATGATTTCTTTTTCATGTTTGCACTTATTTTTTTCTTCGACACAATAACATATTTGATAACACATGTTTTCATTCTTATCTAAGAATGATGTTATACAAACTACACATCTCATTACCTTTTTCATCTTCCAACAACAATGATTTTTTATTTAATTCCACTAGTTTTACTCGTTCGAGTTCAATCAATATTTAGTCTTCTGTGTTATAATTGTCCTGAATGTGTAAATATGCCAACATGTTCATGCAATCAAACAGTATTTCAACATGATAATACTACATATTGTACAATTAATCGAGAAAATATTGGTGCCGATGTATATGTTACTATTGATTATATACCAAGAAACAGCACAAAATTTTATATTAAGAATCCCTATTATATATTAACGTATCAAACAATTTTTTATAATGATACGACAAACGAATGGAATCAACAAACAATTGATATTAGATATGGATGTAATTGGAATTTATGTAATAAACCTGAACTTGTTCCAAAATTATTATCAACTTTAACTTTATCATTACCTATACATTGGTTAAACACATTTATTATTGGTACAAATCCATCAACATGCCATCAATGTCAAAGTGGATCAGTATGTGAAAATACAAATTTTACTGATTTTAGTTCTTGTCCAGTGGTATCATGTAAAGGATCATGTGTTATGAGTGATTTATTTGAAAATTTTCAAGCCGGTTTACCTCAATTTTGTTATCAATCAATATGTTTTAACAATACTGACTCTAATATTGATACACATAGAATTGACATTGAAGGCATTTATTATTTGGATACAGAAGAATTTAATATATGGGAAATAGATGTTTATTGTCGAGCAAATAATTGTAGTAGACCAGAAATATTCAATGAAATACGATCTAATCTCAAAGAAAACATCAATATTGAGGCTTTTTTATATACAGCAACGGCAACGACACCAGTATCACATAGTGCAAAGATATATGTACAATTTTATGTCTTAATAATACTAGTATCCATTTGCATTATCATTAAAAGATAAGTGTGCATTCTGTTCAATCTGGATACTGTATGATTTCATTGAAAAATATTCTAAGTATCTATGAGACTAATTAATATTTCGATTGTATTAACTAGTGATTATTTAGTTCAAATATTTTATTAAAATATTTGCCATATGTCTATCATTATAACCCTAAACTACTGTTAAAAATGTCTTGCTCTGATCTTCTATATAAAAGGAGAATCAAATATGTAAACTTGTGATACGATCAAAATTATATTTTCATGATCAATTCTAATGAGTTCATTTGTTTAGCTTTTTTGTTTATACTCTTTTCTTTGAAATATATATAGAAAAGCATTCAAGTACAGTTAACGAAGTACAATAAGTTTTTGAAAATTTTTACTCCACTATTCCGGAAACATTTTTATTCTTATCATAAATACTACACAGTCTAAGCTAAACATGGGAAAAAAATGTGAAAAATTCATTTTGTTAGCATTTTATCACTCGCACTCAAATAAAATATTAATAAAACGAATTTTTTCATTGGTAGTGGAAGAGTATCAATAAATATGCTGAATAACAAGATAAGTGCACAGTGGGCATTTGGTTGAAAATCGAAAGTGAGCTTTTCTGTGATCTAAATAGTGTCAAATATACAGCGTTGAATGCGCTCTCGAATGGCGTAAAATTTTTTATTCTCTGACTTTTCTTTATGGAATTATTCGAGAAAGAAAACACGGTGGTATAAGGAAAACGCTAGAAAAACAGACGTGTACAGTATAATCAAAACGCGCCAGTTAGCGGAGGTGCAATCTTACTTATTTTTTCACCAGAATGTTGCTTAGTATATCCTGTGTCTGTAGTATACTCACAAAAATCTCACAACTTTTTCTGCCGATGGTTACAGGTTTTCTAAAAATCCTTTGTTTTTAAGGTAATCTGGACTTTTCTACCCTTACATGTCACTTTCTCTGAATACTTTATACATATTCAGATTCCGTGTGAAAAACTACATCGAGTGATGTATCACTTATTAGTTTTATAAATAAAAAATTGGTTGACAAAAATTCCCCAGAGATTTTTCACAAGAAAAGAATTTTTTTTTGAATTTAACTTTTCTTACTTCTATTAAAATTTGACTCATAATAAGACAATATTATGCGAAAATAATCATTTTTTAACTCCTAAAACCAGATGTCCGCCTGCTGTATGGAATAATACCCACTGTGAAGTGATAATAGTAATGTAGAGACCTGCACGGGTTAAGAAAACGTAACCCGACCCGATTATCAAAATGCCCATCCGAAACCGACTTGACCCGATAAACTTTTACTCTTTTGTTTTGTTCTTAAGTTCATGTCTTTTTATTTACCTATTTATTTAGCGGAGGGCATCGCATTTCAGGTGAGTGACTTTTTGCTAATTGGCTGCTAATATTCCAGAAAACCTGAACGCTATATCTTTCTAAATTCTCAATATCACCTCTAATAAAAGAGAAATGTTATCGTTGAAAATTGTGCGGTTTAGAAAAACATTGTTTTCCTTCAGGAAGAAAAGTTTAATGGCAAGTGAATTTAGGAAAATATAACGCTCGAATTTTCTGTAATATTAGCAGACTATTAGAGAAAGTACAAAAGATAATTTCACTTCTTAATTCTTTGTTCTGATTGGGTTACAGAGTTATTACTGTTACTACAGTCAGTGCGGAGACATATCTCGATCGGAATATCAAAAATTTTAATTTTTAATTTGTAAGAAAATGATAAATTTTAATTATATGAGAGCTAAATATGCTTCTCCTTCTTCATTACCCCTCTCTAATGTTCCTAGTAGTGTCTTTTGTATTCTCCAGCTGATCGAAGAGACACATATCTTTTTAACAAACGTAAATAGATTTCTTCTATTAGACATCTTTCATATGTGAGTGTAGTATAAAATATAATAGAAGATAAAAGACAAAGTCGTTACCATGCACAGTTTCATCTACCATACATTTGTAACGTTCTTTTCTTCTTCGTCTTCTAATAACTATCAATAATTCACTTGATTCAATTATGCCTTCCAAAACATCAATGCAAATACACCATACGGGTCCAATCGTTACAAAATTAAAGTCTGATAAATTGAAGCGTGCTCAAAGAACATAAGGCAGTTTATCTGCAAGAACGGATAGTTAGAAAATTCCCCATTAACACAAAGCACGTATATTTATATATTATCGACGCATGAGAAAAGAATTGTGTTTCAATATATGTGTGGGCGTCGAAAAGGAAGAAATAAAAAAACACGGTCGACATGGAAAGCGATTAGATCAAGAGTATATCCCATTATGAGCAATAAAAGATTAACAGCCTATTTCCCGATCGGGATATAAATTCGACTAAAATTTGTTAAAAATTTGTATTCGAAAAAATAGTTACTGGGCGCCTCATACACTTTTGATCAAACACAACAGAATCCGATGTAGTTTTTCGAGCTCTCTGGAATGGTGACGTCAGTTTTACCCCAAAATGTTGTCCTTGTCCCCTTAATCGTTTTTACGACTAAATTTCGTGTTTTATATCCCGATCAGGATATAGGAGGTGTCCCCTTACTGACAGTGTTCCTTTAGAACAAAAACATTCATAACTTTTGAAAGAACTGATATGGGTCCTCCTTTGAGAGCTTTTATCTCCTCACTTTCCTCTATTATCTACTCTAGGGTCGGGCCGGGTTGCAGGTTTCTATAGTAATGCGAGAGACAAATTGATATAACACAAAACTATATCATTCGTATATTACGACGAAGGTGTAGCCTGTTTGACATAGTATATACTTGTTGTCGTTGTTTTCTTACACTTTTTAGTGTTAAAATATTGAGCAAAAATAATAAAATAGGTGTTAAAATTGAATAGAAAAATGTACGGATTATATTATGAAATTGATCGTAACTACCATTAGACATAGTACAAGTAAGTGCGTCAGTTGATGATTCTCCAGATATCATAATGAAATAATATATAGATATAACGAATACAACGTGCAGTAACTGAAGAAACATGGTATATTTATATACAGAGTGCTGCGATAATGATTATAATTTATCTTGAAGCTGACTGTATAAACAGTCTACACAAGTGATTTTAAATAATTTTTAAATTAACTAATTTTTAATATTTATTAAATGCGACTGGTATGAAAAGGTTTAGTATTATCAAATTTAGATCTGGTGCACGATCAGATTCAATAGTTATGTTTTCATTTAGTATCAAAGCAGGTTATGCATTAAAACGTATGGGTGATATGTCCGTTTATGTAAACATATGGGATTCCGAAAGAAGTGCACCACGAAATTTACACGGGCAGGGTACGCACAAAACAAGAAAAAACAAAAGAATTTGATACACAGCGTGGTTATTATTCAACATTTTGTTTATGCTTCAAAAGATATTTATTTGAAAATATTGTGAAATATTTTCAATATTTTCGTATGAATTTTGTGAATCTTCTTCTACAATTAATTTTTCCATAAACTTCCGTAGAGTTGGATGTGAACATTAAAACATACACCCGTGCAAATTGTTTGCACAATATCGACCAATATAATTATCCTCAAAATAATTCAGCATCCTTACTTTAGACTGTGTGTTTCAATGTTCACATCCAACTACTCTACGGAAATTGTAAAATGTTGAATAATAAGTGTGCTGTGTATCAAATTCTTGAACTTCATAATATTTTTTTCTTGTTTCGTGCGTACCCTGCCCGTCCATAACTTTCGTCGTGAGTATCTTTCATACACCAGTAAATATTTACATTTATGTTTAGATAGGTATGTATAAAGGGTGGGTACTAAGTTTTTACCCGCTGTGTAATTGACATTATTTATATGAAACACATGTAATAAAAGTCAGATGTTGTTCTGCAACAGATTCGCTGTTTAATTCTCTACAAAATGGTATACAGTACATGAAACTGAGACTTGAGATTGAACAGAAATCGAAATGCCCCAAACTTTTCAAAAAATTCTAACGACGAATTGAATTGAAAACACGAAAGTAACAACAGAAAATGTGACAGATTTTTGCGCTGATTACGAATATCAATCCTAAAACGAACGAAAATCAAATTTTTAAATCGAAAATTCAAATTTAAAATTTAGAAATTTTTTTATTTTAATTTTCTGACTTACTTAGCTTTTTAAAAAATTTCAAAAAGTATACCAGTGGATAAAGACTTAAATTTTCTACAAAATGCTCTATTGACTTTGTCAAAACAATCAGCACAGTTTTAAAGTAGCAGTAGTTTGTGCTAAATTTCCGCGTTCCAGTGTCACTACTAATTGCCTGATTTGTTAACATCAATATCACAGTAATATTTCTAGGGCATTCTTCATTTCATCTTCCTTTCGCATTTGTTTTTCTCGATCCTTTTGACTGTACTGTTAAAAATCAGTGTTCTTCCGTTCTTTGGAGAACGTGGTGAAGAACACAAATGTGTTCTTTGAAAACTGAAGAACAGAATATATATTCTTCAGTCTATTCAATAGAAAATTTAGTCACAAAAATATGTCACAGTTTTGTTCGTCAGCAGCGTTTTTGTTCTTCAGAAAAGATTAATAACTAACATTTTCTCAACCGAGTTTAGTAGGGTCTGACAGAGCTGGGCAAGAACGGGATTTTTCAAGTACGAGTCGAGTACGAGTACCAATGCTTCGAGTACGAGTCGAGTACGAGTACCGAGCCTTCGAGTATGAGTCGAGTACGAGTACCAAGGCTTCGAGTACGAGTCGAGTACCGAGCCTATGTAGAAACATACCGAGCGAAATGTTAAAACATTTTTTTATTTATTGTATTATCAACCTTCAAGTAGATGGAATCAAAGCAAAACTTTATTACATTTTAGAAAAGTTAGTAGACACACATTCTTTGCCGTTAATGATGCTCGATGTGGTCTCATCAGAAAACCACTTTGCGAGAAAATGCGTTCGACAGAAGTCGATGTCGCAGGCACCGTTAGATATTTTAGAGCAAGTTGATAGAATCCTATTTTTA